GACTGCGTATACCAGCCTGAGTTGTATGTCAAGTAGCTGGTTATATAAAATGAATGCATACATAGAATAGCTTGGAACTTCCAAAGTATACAGTGCCGTCTGCAAGTTTACCTCCTACCAATTTATTATCCCCTTTCTACTTATTTTGAATTATTTGCATTTAAGTAGTTTTAAGAGTTCGCCATGCTAGTCATGTTGCTTTTCTGATTTCTTTTCCCCTCTGCTTTCTTTCAGATTGAAAGAGAAACGAGTTAGCAACAGCAAATTCTACTCCTAGAAATCTGAGTTTCCTTTGATGGGTTCTATCTAAAACCAACCAGGTAAGAACTCCTACCTTGCCCAGAAAACATATCTTAGAAGTTATGTGTCTTGGAAGATATCAAAAAGCAATTTTCTAACAGATTTTTCCACTTGCAGTGAGAAGTGGTTCTAGCTTTATTATGTTCAACAAAACACGTATATATAGTGTAAAGGTAAAGGTTCCCCTCGCACATACGTGCTAGTCGTTTCCGGGGCTCTAGGGGGCGGTGCTCATCTCCGTTACAAAGCCGAAGAGCCAGCGCTGTCCGAAGACGTCTCCGTGGTCATGTGGCTGGCAGGACTAAACGCCTTCGAAGGCACACTGAGCGCTGTTCCCTTCCCACCAAAATGGCCCCTATTTTTTTTACTTGCATTTTTACCTGTTTTCGAACTGCTAGGTTGGCAGAAGCTGGGACAAGTAATGGGAGCTCACTCCGTTATGCGGTGCTAGGGATTTGAACCGTCAAACTGCCGACCTTCCTGATCGACAAGCTCAGCATCTTAGCCACTGAGCCACTGCATCCCCATATACAGTGGGTAGATAAAACCTCCAGTGATGGAGCACCCACAATTTCTGAAGACTAACTGTTCCACTGTTTAATTGTCCTCACTGTTAGGAAGTTTCTCCTTAGTTCAGGTTGCTTCTCTTCTTGGTTAGTTTCCATCCGTTGTTTCTTGTCCTGCCTTCAGGAGCTTTGGAAAATAATGTGACCCCCTCTTCTTGGTGGTAGGCCCTCAAATACTGGAACACTGCTATCATGTCGCCCCTAATTCTTTTCTTTAGACCAGCCAGACCCAAAATTTGCAGCGGTTCTTCCTATGGTTGACTCTCCAGGCCTTTGATCATCTCAGTTGCTCTTCTCTGAACTCTTTCCCAAAGATTAAATGGTGTCCTTTGTTTCTAGTATTCAGATAGTCCACAACATACAAATATTCATTTGGCGGCTGTTCGGAATCACAGTGGCATTGAAAAAAAAGTAACTTATAATACCAGTCCTCATACTTTGAACCATTGCAGCATCTCCACAATCATGGGTTCAAAATTTGGGCGCTTGTCAAACCGGTGTTTATTTATGACAGTTGCATTGTCCCAGGGTCACATGATTACCATTTGCAACCTTCCCAGCTGGCTTCTGAAAGGCAAAGTCAATGGGGAAGTTGGATTTGCTTAACGAACACGACTCACTTAACAGCAACAGACATCTTGCTTAACAAGCAAGGCAGAAAAGGTCATAAAATTGACTATGTCCCAGCTACCACCTTGCTTAGCAGTGTGTCATGCCCTTGTTGGAATCGGATTCCGAGGGACAGGTAGCTGACAGGGAGTGGGAGTGTGGCTCCGGTGGAAGTGGAGGAAACTGAGGAAGGGCACAATCCAGCTGGTCATTCAGAGGAAGACCCAGGTCCACCCTCACTTCACCCTAGGGCACGCAGGGAGGAACGGATAAGGGAGCAACAGATAAGGGAGCAACGTCGTTTACGGGGGCAGGAAAGGGCCCTGATCCCCTTCATTAACTGCAGCTCGGAAAACAGGATAAAGAGGGTGTTTGCGCACAGCTCCTTGCTGAAAGCAAAGCATGAATTATTTTGGTTTGTTAAGTCTTATCTGAGTTCTGCCGTCCTCCCAACTGTGTGTCTCGCTATCTTTTCAAGTCGGCAATGCCTTACCCTGCCCTGTCTCAATTGCTGCGTGGTTTGTGTTGGTTTTTATTTATAATTTATATGTACTTTGAGTTTGGACGGAATTTATTCCCTTTAAAAACTGTTCTTGGGAGAGTTTTTTCTCCAGCTGATGATAACTGGACATTGGAGGCCAAGTTGTAGGTATTAAAGGTACTTTATCTATTTTTGTGACTTTGTTGCTTTTGTGCCATGCCCCGGGTCATCACACAGTGGAACTTCTGCTCTCAATTGTGGGCATAAGTCTAGGACAGGGGTGTCAAACTCAAGGCCCGTGGGCCAGATACAGCTTGCAGGGTGCTTAAATCTGGTCCTGGGGCCGCCCTGGAAACAGCGAAGGACCGGCTTCCTGAGACCGTAATTAAGTACACGCTTATTTTAAAAAACTCTTGTTTTATTTCAATGCTGGGAATTATTTTCATTCCCAGCTGGTAATGAATCTCAAACAGTCCCTTGAGATAAGCACCCACCTTTCTTTCCTGTGAAGTGCTGCGAATAACAGAAATGTCAAATGAATTAGAAAAAAACCCAACTAAAATACAAAGAGCTTCAAGAATGAATCTGAATTGAACGAACGACTTTGCTTCCTGCAAAGGTTTCATCATCTTGGCCTGTCCTTTATCCCTTATGGGAGGGGCAATCACCTCCAAACCTTACTCTCGAATCGCCCCTTTTGTCTCAGCTGCTCGCCTTCTAGCAGCTCTGTGCACACGTGCACAGGGAACAGGCTCCCCTGGGTCCTCTGCCTCGCTGCTAGCAGACTCCAAAGGCTCCGAAGGCAGCACCCCACTCCCAGATGGTCCTGGCCCCATCTCTGCATTGGATGCAGGACCCTCCTCCGAGTCCTCTCCAGACTCCCCTTTCTTCCCCACTGTCCGATTCTGCTTCCCGCACTGTACAGGCTGCCGGCAAACCACAACACTGACGAGTGACATCAAGCTAGCCACGCCCACCCCAGCCACTCCCATCCCAGGTCCGAAGGTCAAACACAACCCTGATGCGGCCCTCAATGAAACAGAGTTTGACGCCTCTGGTCTAGGACGGCCCGTATCGGCTCCAACGTCAAACTTTCCCCAAACCTAAGAAATAACACAGCTTTATCCTTTTCTTGTTGCCTTTACTAGGTGAAACTGTATTTGCTTGCCTGACGTTTTCTGGAACAGAAGAAATCCACAAAGTGCCTCGACCGGATTAAAAAAGATTTTTTGAAATGACATCCTAAGGAGCAAAAAGAGGTTAAACCACCTGCTGGATTATGGACCCTGCCTGATTATTCCTGTGCAAGATCTAGAAAAAAAAGTCAGAAAAGAAGAAAAAAAACAACTTTTTGTGTGTGCATGTTTTTTGTTTTTGTAAAAGTTGTAAAATCTGTTTCTGAGTCACGAGGCCAGAACGTTATTTATTTTTACATGTATGCGTACGTCAAAAGGAATGAGTGTATGTATAAGGGCTGAATGGCACTAAATTTACAGAGATTTGTACAATTTTAGGGTATTAAAAGAAACTATAAACGTATATATATTTTGTCTGGATGACTGTGTAAAGTGGCTATTTTTGTGGCAAGTTTGAAGGCCTTGGCACATATTAAAATGATTATCCCATTTTATTACTGAATGCCCTTTTTCTTCCCATTTCAACTTTGAACGGAGTCACATTAAACACAGGTAATCCTCGGTTAGAGACCATCCATAGTTATGACGGACTTCCCCAGTGCTACTTTTGACCTGGTTCGAAGAGTTCCAATATCCACCTCCCACACACATACACACAGAGTCACGTGATTGCATTTTGGGTACTTGACAACTGGCTCACATTTATGGCTGTTTGCAGTGCCCTTCTACTGGTTGTATGATCATAATTTTTGGCTGTTTTCGATTTGTTGCAGAAAAACACCCATTGAAGAAAATAGATTGGGCACAGTCAGATGGCTTAACAACTGTCACGATTTAGGACTGTGGTGCCATATTCAATTTTGGTTGTAAGTCAAGGACTACCTATACATCCCTGTGATGTAACAATATGTAAAATATTTCTGTACATCACAGAGATATAGATAGATGATAGATAGATAGATAGATAGATAGATAGATAGATAGATAGATAGATAGATAGATAGATAGTTGATGAGAGATGATAAATATATAGATGATATCGTTGATGATAGATATAGATAGATGATATAGTTGATACAGAAGATGGAGATAGATGATACAGATAGATGATAGAAAGATATAGATTGATAGATTATAGATTATATAGTTGATAGAAGATAGATGATGATGGATATATATAGTTGATGATGGATGATACATAAACAGATGATAGCTAGATGATAGATAGAGATGATAGTTGATAGAGAAGCTAGACAGATGATAAAGACATGATAGAGATGATAGCTGATAAAAGATAGATGACAGAGATAGATGATAGTTGATAGAGAAGCTAGACATGACAGAAAGACAGATGATATAGTTGATAGAGAGACATGATAGATAATAGAGATGATAGATATGAGATAGATAGATAGATGATAGATAGATGTAGGTAGCTAGACGACAGACAGACCTGAACATCACTTGCTATATATACATCAAGACCATAAACAGTCTTGAAGAGACTGTATAGTTAATGACTGCATTGGACAACTGTTAATATAATCTCTTAGTAATAAAACCAACCAGAAAGATTGAATAGTTTATCAGCTATCCTAAACTTTGTGGTCTAAATATATTTTTGAATATAGTGCTCATGTCTTCTATCCAAAGGACAAGGATAATGGAAGTTACACAACAATTTAGTGATGGCACGAGCCTTTGAGAAAGGCAAACTTGGCTACAATCATCTCCACTGTGAGTGGCATCCCAGTTTGTCCTACAGCTTTTATCAAATGGGCTGTAGATTCTTCTAGAGTAGCAGTCAAACTAGTTAGGAAAGAGGTCAAGATCAATGATACGGCAGAAATACTTACCTTAATCACGATAAGCAGTTCCAAGTCACTTCAGGTCATCCAATACAGATTCAAAAGTACGCAACATTTTATTGGAAAAAGAGAGATACAGACCTGTACAATAAGTACAAATGAATGGAAGTGGAAAGTAATTTTTAAAAGCTGCATTTTTCGAGTATAAAATGTAATTTCTTTAATGTCTACACTCTTCAAACTGTAGCGAGCATATGGTGTACTTAACAAGTTTTGATATATTTGCTTGCAGTTTGGAAGAGAACGAAGATAGCAGTAAACCTTTAAAAAAAAAAACCCTTAAGAAAACCCCTGACAGTTGCAAATTTAGCTGCCAGCAGGCTCTTAGTGCAGCAACACAACCTTAACAAATTACTCTAGGTGATATTTTTATTGCCACTGATTCTAATCAATAAATAGAAAAAAATAATAAATAGGTCATACAGGGTCTATTTCAATCTGAGACCCCTAGTTTTGTATGTAACACTGCAAAAAACCGTAGTATTATAATTGAAAACCGGTGAAGTATAAATTCTTATCCAGCACTGAAATTGTGGCTGTGGTGAGTTTACAAAAACTATACACATAACACATTTTAAAAACAATGCAGGGATCTTTTCATGTAGAAAATACTGAGCAAAAAAAACAACAACCAATAACAACCATAGCAGTTCTATAAAAGTCCCCGTTAAATCCTAATGGAGAAATTGGTTTGTTCTAAATCCTGTTATCTAATAACCAAATTCAGTCATCTAGCAAGCTACACAACATTAAAAAAAATTGTACTTGTTTTTTTGAAAAAAAAAATAGTATGAAAACCTTCTGCATTGAAACTGCATACAAATCTGTCAGAATAGGAAAAAAACAGAAGCAAACTAGCATCCTAGCGTTGTGTTTAAACACGTGTCCCTGGCAGATACGTGGCAAATGGAAGAATTCACTGGAATTTGCATTCACATCTGTAGTGTATTGGGGCACATGTGTGAAACCGAGGAACAGAAAGTAAGAGAAGTCAAAAGTCTTCCCAATCTGGCTGGAATGTCCTTTCTCATGAAGCAGGTAAAATAGTAACTAGAGGGAATCTTTTTGGATCAGGAATAAATAGTAATGACTTCCCGGCCACCTCCTCGCACCAGCAATACACGCTCCAAACCTTCAGTTAACACTTCAAGAAATTCCATATCTGGATCAGAGTGTTAAGGAGAAGAAAATATCAACGTAATATGGTTAATGGAATTGTTCTGGTCTAGGCTTCCCCCAAAAGCACTAAGCAGGCTCTTGTGTCCCGGAAAAACCCCTTTTATTAAACAAAGGTGCTATGCTGGCTGGAGAATTCTAGAAGTTGAAGTCCACAAGTTTTAAAGTTGCCAAGTTTGGGGACCCCTGGTCTACGTTATAAATCACTTTTTTCAGTGCCATTGTAACTTTGAATGGTCACTCCACACAAGCAAAGTACCAGCAAAGGAGGGGAAAAAACTCCAGAGGAGTTCCAGAGACAGGAAGTCTAGTCCTGCCAAGAACATAATAAGGGTTAACGGAGAGGCAGTTTCTGTAAGCAACACCAGAATGTGTCCTTCCTGCCTTCCTTACAGGATTAGACCAGTAATTTCTTCTAACAATCGGTTCTCCGAACTGCTTAGAATGTTAACAACCAGTTCTAGCAAATAGGTGCGAACTGGTAAATCTCACCCCTGCTTCCAACTCTGTTAAATCTGTAAAGGTTCTACATTCAGATGGTTCTACACATTTTACGTGGAATGGGTTGCATTGAAAAGGATACAGTTTTCATCACCCTCCATGTTTTTTGGTGGACCAGGCATGTTGAGAAGAACAAGTCGGGCATCGTGGGATCGATTTACGATGACTTCGTTCAGTTTCACAGCAGTGTGCATCCTTCGGACATTTGTCTGGTCACTAGAGGGGTCAAATTTACATAGAAATCAACAAGTTGGAAATATCGTACCCAAGAAATATTGTTGGGATCCAGTTTGGTGTAGCTAAAAAGGTGCCAGGTTAGTAACTAGGAGACTGTGAGTTCTAGTCCTGCCTTAAGCACAAAGCCAACTGGGCAACTTTGCGCTGGTCACTCTCATTCAGCCCTCAGTAAAAGAAGAGATGAGCAAACTACTTTTGAAAATGTTGCTAAGGAAACTTCAGGAAGTTGTCTAGCCATTTACTGCTGAGAATCAAAATTGTTTTGAAGGCACCACACATACAAGGTCACATAAAAACGCACCCTTTATTTAGGAAGGCCTCTCTGCCACACCCAGTCATCATCTTAAGAACAGTTGCGCATTCAAAACAAAATGCAAAAATGGATGGCAGTGATAATTATAATAATGTGTTCTGTCTGTATTTACATATGAAACCGGATCTGGGAATAGTTCTTTCCATTTCACATAAGGAAAAAAAAATCGGCTCCAATACGTACATCCATCTTAATTAAGGGGGATGTGCGTATATATGTTCAGAGACTGGATGCTTCATGTGAACCAACGTTAAACTTGGCCACTGACAAAAACACTGAAAGTTTGGAGGTGACATTAATACTGCAGATTATAGAGATGAAGAAAAGTAAAGGAGCAGGAATGATTCATAATAATCTATTCCAGAGATGGGGTACAGTCTTCATTTCTTGGTTGCATGGAGTAAATTAAGAATGGCTGCCTATATGACATCCTTCAGATTCTCAATTTCGGGCTCTTTGGAAAGTCAAAAGAAGGGAAAGGAAGGGAGGAGAGGGAAGACAGGAGGAGGAAGAGGAGAGAAGAAGACAATTTTAAGACTATCCAAAATTTAGAGAAGGTCTCCCTCTGTCTTACACAGTGGGAGCAATTACTAAAAAGTACGACAAAGCTGCTATCCTTAGAAGCATCCCAAAGCCTTAAGAATAAACATATCCTAATTAGCAAAGGCTCTTAGTTAGTAGGCACAGTGCCATCTGAAACGGCAACCTCAAAGCTGGGTCTACTCCACTTTCAAGCTGACATTCAGAATTGCCCCATGTAACCAGATTCTTGGTTCAGAATATGCCTTGTCAGGGCAGAGAACATATGTCTCAAGGACCTGTTTGGATCAGGGAAAGAGCCACTGCTGGTTTTTCTGGGAACATGTGGGTCACGTTTCAATACATACAGGTTATACTCCTCATAAGCTAGAATTTTGGAAACAGGAGGAAAAGTGTAGAACGCAAGGTCGAAGCAACAAAACAAATTCCCAGCCAATCTTGGAATTAAAGAACGTTGACGTTCCAAGTCCACGTGCTGAAGATCAGGTCAACAACTTATACCTCCTTTCTGACCCAAGGCTCATGGATCAATTCAAGATGAAGGAAAAAGGCACATCCCAACAAGTTTAAAAGATTTCAACACTTCCTGATTTGTGGGTACCTTTCAGTCTTCTGTTTGCAAAGCAAAGCATGTACGGTAGACCAAACTTGGTTTGTAGCTCTTTTGCTACCAGGAACTTTAAGGCTTGTCTAAGGAGGGAGAGAGCCTCCACTTACAGTTTTCTTCCTCATCAAAAAGTTTTCTGTTTCTATTTATCAAAAGGATGGTGGGGTTTAATTAGACAATGCCGCATCTTTTTGGATGTTTTGGGAACTCTCTACCAAATTTAATCAACAGGGAATGCATTACTCCTTAATTAAGGACTTCTGTTCTTGGCAGAATAATGGTGATTTCTTCCAGCTGGACCTTTTCATCCAGGACAAAATAACAGTAATGTTTTTAGATAATATCAAGCAAAAAATAATGATAATAATAAAAGCATCAGGATGAACACAGAGCCAACTCAAACGAGATTTTCTGCAACACTACTGACCCAAAGGATTTGGGGTCAAAGTAAAAACAGCACAGTTTTCATTCCAGCACAGATCTCGGATGCTTACGGTTTAAGACTGATAAGTTCCCTGAAGTTCTCCACCACAATATTTCCGATCTGATTCTCAAGGTCATGTTTAGCTTTTGTCCAAGTCATCTGGATCTTTTCTGGGATTGCTTCCCCTTCATCTTCCTCGTCAGAGTAAAGGCTCTCTAATCTTACGATTGAATGTCTGTCTTTCACCAGCTGAGCCTGGAAGAACAAATGGAGGGGAATAGTTATTCTCCAAAGAACAGTGTCCCGCTATTCCAATGGGAAATATTGTTGAATAGAATAGAATAGAATTCTTTTTTTGGCCAAGTGTGATTGGAATTAGTCTTGGTGCATGTGTTCTCAGTGTACATAAAAGAAAAGATACATTCGTCAAGAATCATAAGGTACATCACTTAATAATAGTCATAGGGTACAATAAGCAATCAAATCATACTAGGAAACAGTCAATAAAATCGTTACGATACAAGCAATGTTAAATCATACAGTCATAAGTGGGAGGAGATGGGTGAAAGATGGGAGGATTAATAGTAATAGTAATAACACAGACTTTGTAAAGAGTTGGACAGTATTGAGGGAATTATTTGTTCAGCAGAGTGATGGTGTTTGGGAAAAAACTGTCCTTGTGTAGTTGTTCTGGTATGCAGTACTCTATAGCGTCATTTTGAGGGTAGGAGTTGAAACAATTTATGTCCAAGATGTGAGGGGTTTGTAGATATTTTCACAGCCCTCTTTTTGACTTGTGCAGTATACAGGTCCTTAATGGAAGGCAGGTTGGTAGCAATTGTTTTTTCTGCAGTCCTAATTACTCTCCGAAGTCTGTATCTATCTAGTTGGGTTGCAGAACCAAACCAGGCAGTTATAGAGGTGCAGATGACAGGCATTGTTGGGTTGTCTGCTTGGAGAATCACTGGTGGGACACAGATTGGAAGTATATTGGGATCAGCAAAATATCACGATTGATTGGTAGTGTAACCAGGTCAGAGAGACAGAATGTTATTTCAGCCAATAAAAATACGATCATTAAAATGAAAAAGAATTAATAGCAATCATTTGGGGGTGAAGTTTGCAAATATTGTAGCAAAATTTTTGCTACTTTTAGAGAAAGATATTTAGCTTGATTATTTAAATAAAAGTTTTGAGATTGTCCTGGAATTTTAAATAAAAGAAAGGAATCAACCGAAGATGAATGTCTCTATAGAACTTGCAATACAGAAGAACTTGGGCTGTGTCCCAAAGGTGCTTTTTCAAGAGGCAGTTGGACTTTCTGGTTTTTCTTTGAACACATTTTGCTTCTCATCCAAGAAGCTTCTTCTTTGGCACAAATGCAGGGAGAAAATAAGACACTCTTCGCTTTAGTATTTCGTAACACAAAAGCTTATTGTTTATTCCTTCCTCCGCAAGGAGTCTGAGATAATAGCTAAGCAAACAAAACAAAGTTGGATCTAACCCGATTTTCCTGGGACTCGATATTTATAATGATTTCCCCTCATTACCCTTCATTACCCCCGATTATCCGTATTACCCATGATTACTGTTTTTAATGATAATTATTCGTATGAACTCAATCACATGGATCGTGGCTAATGCATAGAGTTTCACCTCACAGCATTTTACATAGACAGCACATATAATTATGATACAGAGTTTATTCTGATGAAGAGGAATGCCATCCTTCAGGTCGCTGTGGCTTCGATACAAACGCGTGTGTTGCGTAGTCGCGACACTTCTTCAGCTCTCAACGTCTTGGATGAGAAGTGAAACGTCTTCAAAGAAAAACAAGGAAGTCCAGCTGCCTCTTGAAAAAGAGGAGTCTCCACAGACATTTTAACGTGGGATGTGGTTTCTGTGGTACCTTTATCACAAGGTCAGAATTGGGTTTCATATGGGGTTTTGCAACCAGATCAGAGTGGCCTATTGTTATATTCAATTTTATAGAGGGATTAACAACATCTCAGAGTGCATCCTTTTGACATCTCCATGGCTTGTCCTGGCTGCCTTTAGAAAATCTTACAGCCTGTTCATTTGGCCATCCTTGCTTCAAACATAATCCCACCTGTAAACCCAATTGATGGTCACCCCGCCATCATTTTGCAATGGCGATTAGAAGACACACCTCTCAGTCTTGCAAAAAAGAGCCCAGGAGTTTTGGCTTAAGATTTGGAAATGGTTAGAGGAAGTGACAGGCACAAAAATAAATAATAAACCAGAGATCTTTTTATTGGGAATCGTGTCAGCATAGTATAGTAAAGATGATATATATTTAATAATTTATGTTATTACAGCAGCAAGAATGGTGTTTGCCCAGAAATGGAAGGCTAGAGAAATACCTAGCGAAGATGAGGTGATAGATAAGATTTTGATCTGCACTGAAATGGATAATCTTGGAAATGAAAGATAAAAATGAATCTGATTACTATATAATATGGAATAAACTCTATTGTTGGAGGGAACAGAAAGGGAGTTCGCAAAATGAATGATTCAACTGATATGCAATTGAAACGGTTTAAAATATATAAAGACCTAATGTATATAAATGTATATTGGATCTTGTATGAGGTGGAAGGACAAAAATGTATGCCAATGAAGTCCATCATGTTTAATCTTTTTAAATACTGTAATCAATAAAATATGAAGAAGAAAAAGAAGAGGAAGAAGAAGGAGAGGAAGAAGAAGGAGAGGAAGAAGAAGGAGAGGAAGAAGAAGAAGAAGAAGAAGAAGAAGAAGAAGAAGAAGAAGAAGA